TTAAATCAAGAAAGGATAAATCCTAAATGAAAAGTCAGAGAGAACTTTTGACAGTGCTGTATAAGAACAGCCCCGTCATGGCATATAAAGTGTAGGCCTGCCAAACACCAGTAAAATGGACTGCAGAGAACAGTTTTGCATTGACAGAGAGGAGGATCTCTTCCATCGAATGCCTGGTTCATTGCTAGTATGAAACTTAATTCTCTTCTCCTGGTGACAAATGGTGATGTCTTGTATTGCAAAGGTCTGCAGTGTTGAGCTGTATGCTGTAAGCAAGCTGATGCATAATCCTGAAGCATTCCATTTGAACTCTGGCCATTTTGGCTGTTTAGGATAGCTGGGTAGAAGAGATTTAAAATATATTACCACAGTAGCTTGCTAATGCTGACACTTCTCTTTTATTCCCTCAGGTGCTTATAGCAAATGCCAAAGCTAATGGAGATACAAGAGCTCTGGAACTAGATAAGAAGTTGTTGGCACGTTCCTAGCCTGAACTTCCTTTAAGTGGGACAGCTGCCTTTTTTATAATTTTTTTTTTTATTTCTTTTATTTGAGGGAAATGAAAGAATTTTGAGATGGGCCCTTCTATCAATCTGTCTTTTGATTTTAAATGAACATGACTCTTCCATTCTTCCCTGTCCCTCTACCCACTTAAATTTATTTAGTGATGCTGTAATGAAGAGTGTATTTATCCCTGCTCTTCATGTATAAATGCCAACAGAAGTGATTTTTATTTTGCATCTGCTGCAGTGATGCAAAATAATACGGTACCTTTTTAAAAAAAACAAAAACAAGGCCTTAATAGTTGTCTAGGTAGTATGCAAATTAACTGTTTCTGCTTTTTCCAATGGTTGTAACATGTAGGAATCTAGCAATATGCTTTTCACTACAATTTTGAGACCTAAATGTATCTGCTAATTTACTGATAGCCCAAAATAGTTATCGTTACAAGTGACTCCATTGGACATTCTTGTCTTCAGACTTTTGCAATAAATAGTTCAGGCAAGGAAAAATTTGTGCAATCATCAGGTTTGTAGTCATAAATTAGTATGACCTGTTTTTTTATTTATGTTTTTGGTTACCCAGCTGTTGACCACTTACTTGAATTAATCATGACAGTGGTTCTTGATACATGATGTTACTTTGCCCATTACTTGCATGTGATTAAAAAAAATAATGCAATTATTCTAGAATGTCCTTTTCGTTTCTTTCCAAAATAAACAGGTAACTTAATGTGCAATATGTACACTTCAAATGTTCTCAACTTTTGTGTCTGAAAAGGTTACCCAACCTGTTTCCCTTATTGGAAGGAAGGGCTCTTCTGACCAGGAAGGTTTCCTTCCCTGCTTATCTTCTGCTCTTACACTCTTCTGCCATGTAAGATGACCTTTTTCTTAAGGTGGTTCATAATATAGACTGAACATGTAATGTTGCACTACCACTAGCCAAAACTCTCTCATGCTGTCTAGTCACCTAACATTTAAAAACAATTGCTGGATATTTTATGATCCATTTACAAGTCCAGAATTCACATGTGTGCCAGCAGTAAAGCAACAATCACTTAAGGATTCTCCTGCTTTGTGCCATTAACGCTAGGATTTTAATAATTATTATTTTGATGTAGGGAGTTGCACACTTTCTAATTATGGTATAGTAAGCCAAGCTCCCTCCACATAGCTACCTCTTTTTGCTGCTTCTGTCCCTTTGACAGTCTTCCTGAATGCCGTCTTCCAGTTCTTCATTATTGCAGGGACTCCTGAAACTCCCAGTTGGAGCTGTGGCACATCTGAGGTAGGCTCAGGAGCCTGCCTGGGGGGCAGGGAAGGGGAGGTAAATTCTCAGCAGCCCCAGTGACAAGGATGCCGAAGACCAGAACAAGCACCTCTACGTAACAAGATAACACAGATAGTCTTGAATTTGGGCTGGGAAGGGACATAGTGCAAAAGCCCAACCTGCAAGCTAGCTACTGAGCACCAAGACTCCTCCTCAGACTCCTTATGGGTTATGATCCAAAGGGTCATGGCCACCCCAAAAATCTTAATAAATAAACAAACAAAGGCATGAAGCTGAGAACTCTCATCTCTTCACCTCCCAGTCACAAAGCCCAACTCAGTGTCCCAGACCTTTTAAAAAGAGGGCATGCACCTGGGAGCCTCAGCTCAATGGCTACCCACTTTTTAAAAGTTCCGTGGGCTGACACGGGGGCAAAGATATCCAGTATTGGGGTCATGATGGTCCCCATACAAGAGCTTTCCCCATCCCCATCTATACCATACCCTGCTGCATGTCCTGGATTAAAGAGATGTCTGGTATGAGCAGAAGGAATGGGGGAGCTCCATCATCCCCAGCTGTTCATGCTGGGTGCCTCTTTTAAATGGACCTGTTTAAAGAGGTGCCTGTGTCCTGGACCCAAGACCAGGTAGTTCTGGGGATAGAGTAGAGGGTAGCCATGTTCAGGAGTTGGCAGCGCCCCCAGCCCAGTTCCATTGATTGAGCAGGGAGTTGCTTTGTTCCAAACCTTGGGGGTTGCCCGGGTCCTGATTCAGATCCAAGGCTGTCCCCAGCCTGATCCTAAAGCTCAGGAAAAGAAAGGCTGTGTCCTGGATCCTGAAGCTACCCCAAGTTGAATCCCAGTGCTCAGCTGTGTGTTGGAACCAGACATGGGGAAGAAGGTTGTGCCACGTTCTATTTAAGGCATAATGCAAACCAGTCATAAAGATGCTCTGTATTATACATGGAATATCTTTGTGGCTGTGTTCTCATTTTATTGCAGCTTAGATTTAGATGAACATATGGCATGTTATTTAAGACCTTAAAGCATTGATCACAGGGCCAGGGCCACATACAGCCTTGAGGACGTACAAATGACTGCTATCAACCACTAGGCTGCTGTAGGTCACTGTAGTGATGCTTGGAGCTATCTCTGTCTGGATGCTAGCATGTTCTCCAGCTTGTCTTTCTTTTGTCTTGTATCTCAGACAGAAATGTCATACCATCAAGTGTTTTAAACCTTGCTTTGCCCAGATATTAGATAACAGATCTGTAGGCTTACTGCTAAGTAAATGAGAAAGTATACTAAGTTGGAGACAGTAATTAGCCTTAGGTATGAACTGTTAATTTTATATGTTCATGTATTAAAATGACAGTGATGTGGTGTTTAGCACTCTTT